AATATATTCTTATAGCTTACTGGAATGTATTTTGTACTGTATAATGTTGATTATTTGCCATCTAAATAAATAAATAAAATAAATGTCTGCTAAAGTAGGTGAAATGTGGAAATATTTAGAGATAAACAATGTAAAAAAAAAATATATATATATATATATAAATAATAAAAATAAATTAGAGTAAAATACATTAAAAATGAGATTAAAATAAATAAATAAGTGGATAAAACAAATACAAATGAGATTTAAATAAATAAACAAATAGATATAATACAATTATGAATAAATAAACATGAGATTAAAATATATAAATAATTAGATATAAAATAAATGTTTTAAAATTATGAATAAATAAACATGAGATTAAAATATCTAATTAGATATAAAATAAATGTTTTAAACTTATTATAAAAAGATGAATAAATAAAAAAATTGATTAAAATATATAACAATGAAGTAGATTAAACCAAAAAATAATTACATGAATAAACAGAATTTGACTAAAATATATCAATAAATAAAAATAAATTTATATATATATATATATAAATAGATAAATAAATATTAGATTCCAATATTTAAAAAACAGACAAATAAAATTAGATTAAAATAAATACATAATTTGATTAATCTGATTACAAATAAAACAATGATTAATCAAATTATGAATAATATTAATAAGAAATTGAATGAGTAAATAAATACATAGTACAGTGCCATAATGAGTGGGAAAAATAATGCAATAATAACTTAGAAACTACAATTTTTCACAGTCTAAATTGGGTCTTTAGACAAGAAACTATACAGATGCTTTTCAAATAGTACAATTGGGGCCCCTTGCACAAGGATGATCATATTTGAGGATCCGTGGCATCTAAAAGATTGAACATCCCCGCGCTAATGAACCAAAATGCAATGTTATTTATTAATTAATAGTCCCCATTTTTTGCATGTGCCAATATGTAGATCTATAAAGACCTGCACAGTCCAAGTGTTACAGGAGTGGCAGCAGCACACGGCGCTCTCACCTGCAGTCGAGGTTTTGCGGCCAGGTAAGGAGAGATACAGCCGTCACTCTCGGGTTTCTCGCAGGGTTTGGTGTAAACGATCCCGAACATGACCCAGCATGTGTGCAGCACATAGAGGAGGAAGACCCCCACGATCAGACCCGTCAGAGAGGTCTTAGGAAACATCTTACTGCATCAGACACAGCACACACACGAGCAGAAGCCGCTCATCAACATGCTGCTCGGAGGACTGAAAATAACGAGATGAGCTGTCACTCTGCCCTGATGCGCACACACTAAACCCGCACATCCGTCTGTTCTTCTGATAGTCACTGCTGCAGCCTCAGAAATCGCGAATAAAGTCATCGATGACTCCTCGTGAAGAAGCGCGCGTTTAATTCCCTTAATTTATCGCTCCATTCACTTTAGACGCGATGTTTCAATGAGCGCTTACTTCCGGGATTCACTTCCTGTTACAGGGTTGCCAGATTTCTTCTTATTTTCAGTTTTATTTATTTATTTATTTATTAGACGCTTTTATCCAAAGCGACTTACAAATGAGGACAACAGAAGCAATCAATTGTAGTATTAAAACAACTAAAAACAGATCCAAAACTAAAAGCTAGAACTTTATAAATACTACCTATACACATTTAAAAAAAAATAAAGAGATTAAATAAAAATGACAAATGCATACAACTAAATTGCAAAACTTAACATTTAAATGAAAAAAAAAATTTAATTCAATAAAAATGACAAATGCATACAACAAAATTT